CCAAGCGCTCCTGCCGAGAGGGAGTATAAATACAGAGGGCTGGGCCTTCCCACATCGATCATTAATCAAGAAAATGCCCCTCCCAATTGCTTGTAGGCAATCTGATGGCAGCAATTCCTCAAGTGAGGGTTTGCCTTTCCAGATGACTCTAATTTGTGTCAGGTTGAAGACAAATCAACCCCCTAGGCAAGCACTCCACCAACCAAGCTCCGTCTCCAGCCCCTAACCTCCATGTTTTGGAGACAGGATCCCACTATGTAGTTCAGTTTGGTCTCAGACTCAGAACCCTCTTCACCTCCTCTTCAAACTCCACATTTCTAACAAACCAGTGAGTAAAAAAAGATGCCTTTAGGCTTGTGAGACGCTCAGCGGGTAAAAGTACATTACGCTAAGACCAACGACTGAGTTTGATTCCAAGGACCCACAGGAGGAAGGGGAGAAATGATTCTCATAAGCTGTCCTCTGACCCCCACACCCCACACCAAGGCACAGCTACACACACACACACACTTGAATACTTTAGATTTTTAAATAAATAAATTTTTAAAAGATTCTTTTTGTGGTTCTAATACTTACTCATTTTCTAGTACCTGGTTTGCTTCTTTGGTACATAAAAATAGGTTTGTATTTCTTTAAGGACTTACAGGAATTCTGAATCAACTTCCTTTTTATTGAGATGTGTTTCTATATTTTCTTCCAATTTGAATCTTGCACTTTCTTTCTCTCTCCAGAAACTCTTGGTTGTAATGCAGCCAGGCGAATCATTTTCCATCCAAGGTTACAGTTTTTCAATTTTGTTCTCTTTCTACGACTTCATTATGAAGTCTCCATCTTCCCTACCCTAACTACTTGGAGCAAAGCATTCCCCTTTCTTCCTTTCTCTGTTTTTGTTGGTTGGTTTTGTTTTGTTTCCTGAGAGAATCTTATCAGGTAGCCCAGGTTGGTCTTGAACTCAGCCATCTTGCTGCCTCAGCCTCCAAGTGCTGAGTTTACTGGCATGTATCACCGCCCTCCACTCTCTTAAGAATATTAATAACACCTACATGCTGAACTCATCTGGAATCTGTATTAGGGGGTGCTGGGGGTTTGTGCCCCCTTCCTTTTTCTCTATATGGATTATTTTCACCGCATCTTTCTCTGACTTGTCTCTGCCCTTGTCATCTATCTGCAATGACAGCCTTGTCACCTGCTCTTGTCTCTGCATCCCAGACTGTCCAGGAGAAGCTGGAGAAGTGTGTACAAGTGTGTGGAATAAGAGATAAGAATCCTTGACTCCTGTATGGGAAAGGGTGTTTCTGGCAGCTTACTGACAGTTTCTAGCTCCTCTCACTGTTTTATAAGAATAAGCTTTCATTGCTCTTTGTATATCAGGAGTGACTCTGGGATTTTATTGCATGTTTTTTCTCTGTTGAGATAAACATCATTCTCTTCTTTAATCCGTTAGTATAACCAATGGCATCAGGTTATTAAAAATTTCAATAGTGAACTAAAAATGTATTTGATCATCTGGACATTCTGTGAGATTGGAAATAGCTGGATTCTTGTTCTCTTTTGCCTCTGCATTCTCTGGACTTCTCAGAAATTTGGTTTCACAACACTTCTTGGTTTTGTTTGGAGGAAGACATTGGCTGGTAGCTTCTTCCTTGTTCATACCCAAGGGACATGTGATGTTTACAAACATAGGATTTGCAGTTAGGGAGACCTCTGTTTGTTTCTTGTTTGGTTGTTTTGGTTTTTATTATTATTTATTTGGGTGTTAATTTTTTTAGGCAGGGTGTCATTGTGTAGCCCTGGCTAGACTGGGCTAACTCATAGAGATCTGCCTGCCTCTGCCTCTCAAATACTGCAGCTGAATGCCTAGTGAGACCTGTTTGACATGGTCCTTACATTTGGTAGGTGCTGACTTTAAATGAGTTCCATTAACTTCTCACCTACAGTAGCAAGTCTCATGATCCTTCATAAAATCATAGGAATCAAAACCAAGTCATGCTGGAAAAGGCTCAACCCTGGGCAGAGCACATTGAAGTGATGTTTTAGCTGTTGTCACTAGAGTATAAATGTGTGGTAGATTCCTTTGTGATCTGAAAATGGTAGTTTTTATTTTTACTAGGCATCATAGTATCTTCATGGTCCAGAACATGCACTTTATGTCAGTGAAATTCATTTATTTAGCAGAGTGAAATATCTGTTACAGCAAAGTACCTTCCTAAGCAGGCACGTACATCATTCCACAAGACAAACACGGGACCCCAGAGACATGTCCTCTGCCTTTGTGACGTCTGCAGGGAGAGGCAGGTAGCTGGTGATTGGTAGATGGTGGTTTCCGAGTGTTCTGGGAGAGTACTCTGTTGATAAAGAGACATAGGGGGTTCCATATGAGAACTGGAGCCACAATCCTGGGGTTAGAAGCTCAGAGAGTCTTCTAGCCTGTGGGAGGAGTTTGTTGTGTTTGAGGAAGAGGAAGGAAGGCTGCCAATGGATAGGGAACACGAACTGGCAGATGAAGAGACATCAATCCAGGAAGTCTAGTAGAAGGTGTTCCGCAGTTCGGAGGAGAGATTCGTTGGCATACAAGGGTGATGGTGGCAGTGAAGGACAGTGGGTAGATCCCAGTTATTTCAGATGTGAAATTTAAACACCAGGCTTGGGAAGAACGTGATAGAAAGAGAGCCAGTGGGTGGATGAGAAGGGGACCGTGGGGGGCCCTCCAGGACTTGAGGGATGTCTGATGCTCCAGGGAAGATCTGCAGACATGACTTGGAAACGGTCCCTCAGGATTGGTGGTGGCAAGTCAGAGATGACCTTGGAGGGCAGAAGCAAGGTGGTAGTGGATTGAAGAGGAAGCAGAAAACCTCTGCCAGGCCCTCTGGGTGAGTGGAGTAGGAAGAATGTGGACAATGTGGGCAGTCGCTGAGAGCGCCGGGAGCCGAAGGTGGCGTCTGGAGATTTGGGGAATATTTGTGTGGGTTTTGTTTTTTTCTCTTCTGCTTTTCATTAGAGAAGTTTGGACAACTAAACACGCTGACAGGATGCCACCAGAAAAGGAGGGTTTGTGAGGACGGGAAAGACAGAGTCATCTAAAAGCAGGTCTCCATGAGGCCTCAGAGATGCAACACGAACTTCGCTGTCACTGAAGAAAGGGAAGGAGTCCTTGGGTGGGGACACTTTGCTTGGTGTGCTGGCAGCACACCAGAGGTCTTCTCAGAAGCAGCTCCTGGTTTGCCAAGAGGAAATGAGGGTTGAGGAGGACAGCGTGGGCGGAGGTCTGGTCGGAGAAGCTGACAGCAAGCAAGGCTGAGCTTTTCTCGACCAGGCGTTTCCACTGACGCGGCCTCCCTGGGCTCCATCACTCCATTGGGCCTAGAGCTGAGCCAGGCTGGGATGTTGCCAGGGGCAACTGAGAGAGAGGTGGTGCAGTGTGGAGACAGATGACATCAGCCGGAGCTGGAGGTGGAGCTGCCTTTTTGGGGACGATATCTGCGCACTTTTAATCCCAGCACTCGGGGAGGCAGAGGCAGGTGGAGGCCAGCGTTGTCTACGGAGCAAGTTCTAGGACAGCCAGAGCTACATAGTGAGACACAGTCGTGAAAAAAACAAAGAAACAGATACACATCCTAAGTCACAAAAGAAGTGAGATAACATTGAGGACCTTAGAGTAAAAATGGTCAAAAACCAAGACTATGAGAACTATGTATTTCATTAGGATGTCTCGATAAAAGACACCAAGGTGCGGTTCAGAAAACTACCATACAAAATTCCTAGCTTCCGTTGAGCTGAACTATATATTTCCACGCGGGAAGCACACCGTGGGCATCGGGACATTTGCCTTTGGATAATAGTAGAATCAATCACTGAAGGAGTTCCAGGAATATTTTGACATACCAAGAAGGAATGCTCTGGGCCATTCTCAACATAATCAGATGTCGGGATAGTAAGTGAACATAAGATATGCTCACAGCCCATCCAAAGCTCGCTATTCGTTACCAGTGCAAACTGCATGGACTCCAAGTTCTCAGGGCTCTGGACACCAATTATACCAGTGATCTTCCCAGCCTTCTTTTTTTATTTTTTATTTTGTATTTTTGGATTAGACTTATAGATCCTAAATCAGTCCTTGGAAAAAAAACAGTGCCTTTAAATTCAATAAATTTGATAATCTGATAGCAATTGTATCATCTTTTATTTTCTTGAAGAGAGAAGAATCTTTTTTGTTTTTCTTTTTTTTCTTTATTTTTTTATTTTTTATTTTCTTTTGAGTCAGGGTTTCATCATAGCTATTGAGCCTGTCCTGGGAGAGGATAATCTTAATGGGCAGGAGGCAGGGGCCGAAACAACAGAAGTGTGGGGTCGGAACAGTCATCATTGTGTGCAGGGATCTTACTGGCCTTGGTAAAGAAGCGTCCCACCGCAGACTTAGTTACTGAGGAAATTAACTTGGGCAGCTTTTGGTTTTTCCTTATGAAACACACTGTCAAATTCCTTCTTTCTGGCTTTGGTTTTTGAGACAAGGTCTCTCTCTATAGGCCTGGCTGAACTGGAGCTTGTCTCGACACATACAAATGTGGCTGCCTCTGCCTCCAGGTGCTGGGGTCAGAGGTCGTGACACCATGCCTGGCATCAGACTGAGCTATGTATCCTGTGTTTGGTTTGGGGGGGAAGGGAAAAAAAACTTATTTTCCTTCATACTTAGTAAATAAATTGCTATATCCTTAAAAATAGAGAATTAACTTAGCCCTAGCACTTGGGAAGCTGAGGCTGGTGCACACGCACGCGTGCACACACAGGCACGTGCACATGTTTTCTAGAAGGATATTTGAGACGGGGCATATTCTAGGTGTTACCGTTGGATGTTGGAACTGTGCACAGAGAAATTTGCTGTTCGTTTTCTGCCCCCTTGGTTCTGCCTCTGGCTCTGGAGCGCTGGGGCTGAAGGCACGTACCACCATGAAGGGTAATTTAAAACTGAAGTCAAGTGATAACCACTGTGCTCTGATGTTCAGCTTGTCCTAGGCTTCTTGATCTTTCTGCTCCCATGGGCTCCGCCGTCTCTCCGGGCAGTCATCATGCCGATACATGTGTATTCCGGACTTCTCCTCTTCGGAACGGTGATTGCAACAGTCCTCATGGGAATAACAGAGAAGCTGTTTTTTGTCCTGTAAGTCTGGAGTCTTCTCTCCCTTAATTCTTAAGCTAGAAAATTTTAAATATTTATTCCCTGGGGAAATATAATATAGATAGCTATTCTAAAAGACTTATTTTTTGCTTGCATGAGTGTTTGTCTACTGCATGCTTGCTGTGCCCCCTGAGACCAGAAGAGGGCATTAGATCCCCTGGAACTGGAGTTACAGGCAGTTGTGAGATGCCATGTGGGTACTGGGAAACAAATTGGGTCTTCTAGAAAAGCAGTAATGCTCTTAACTGTTGAGTCATCTCTCTGGCTCCATAAGTATTTTAATATTAAAATTAAAAAATTTAAATAATTTATTATCCTATACGCATAGTATAGTTATCACTAAAAACAGAATTATTGGGGTTATAGAGTGTGCATTCATCTTTTGGGGGTACATATTTTTATGCTAATTGTAATTATAGTATGTATACATTTTTTTGTATCTTTTCCAGTTCTTAAGTGACATGAGGTATCCCAGGTACAATATTTTTTTCTTACTTGGAATTTTAAAGTATTCACAGTATAACCTAAATGTCTCTTTAATGCCATGCTGTAAGGACATTTCTGTTGAAGCTGTGCCATGGTTCTTTCTGAGCAAGTGAATTCTGTGTCTGCCGTGTGCTTCCTTGTAACTGGGTCCACTTTCTCTTTCTTCATAGGAAAGACCCTTCGTACCATTCGTTCCCGCCAGAGGGTGTTTTTACAAATACACTGGGCATTCTGATTGTGGTATTTGGAGCCCTCATCTTCTGGATTGTCACCAGGCCACAATGGAAGCGTCCCAGAGAACCAGGTTCTATCCTTCTTCAACCAAGTGGAGGCACGGATGGACTGGAAGGCGCCATAGCCATAAGCTCAGACCGCAGCCCTGACGCCGCGGATGCAGAGTTGAGCAGCGACGGAGCCGCCAGGAAGAGAACCCTCGGCCTTGATGATGCGGGCCAGAGATCCACCATGTAAAATGTAGATGCAGCCTACATTTCTCTCCCGAAGTCAGCCCTACAGTTCAGTTTCTCCTGCCTAGCGGTTGGCGACTTGGGTTCATGGTGCCAATGTATACTGTGGTCACCAGGGAGGATTTCTCGAGAGCGTTTGTATCGTGAGGCCGTGAGGCCGAACCTTACCAAATGTAAAAGGTCTTGATCAATTTAAGTGGTGATTGTTTCTTCTTTATTCCTGAGGACCCAAGCATTGGACGTGCCTGCCCGGGGCTTGTTTGCTGAGCAGACAGCACCCTTGGCCTCTCTCTATGCCTCATTAATTCTGGGAGCCCAGAGATTTCAGAACAAGGTAGAACCAGTCCTAACTTTTAAAACAATCACAAGTACCTGGAACTGTGTTTGAACCCTTATGCCACACAGCTGTTGTGACTAAAACATGTTGCAAGGAATGGCGTTTTAGGAAAATTAGTTCCCCTTTCCACCTCGGTTCCCTCTCCAGCCAATTTGAGCTCACATTGGGCCCTGGACACGACAGTATATATGAGGGCGTTTCAGAGCAGATGCTGGGTCAAAGACAGCTAAAGAGATCTCTGATTAGACCTGGAAGATTTTCTTACACTCAGCCCACAGCGCCTAGACTCCCAGGAGCTGGTCACCTCACAGCTCAGCTTGTGAACCGCTTGCAATGCAAACACGCCTGAGCTCACGCTGCACGAACCGCTTTGCATCCATGCGCACGTGATGAGCACTGTCCCTCGAATTTCCAAAGTGCTTCCCTGGCTCTAACATGTGCCAGCCACTCTCCTGCTGGGCACTTTACAAATATTAGCTCCTTCAGTCTCAGACAGATGTTGTGAGGCAGGTATTGTTACTGGCCCCGTTTTTTGAGGCGAAAAGATCCGAAACTTGGAAAGGTTGTAACTTGGCCCAACTTCACATAACTCTTAAGTCCATGGAGCTGGCATTCCAACCCTGGCAGTCTGGCTCCTCTGCCCACAATTCTACATTCCACTATGCTCCTTTCGCTTTTATCCTACTTGGCAGCTCCGTGGTCCGCCCCTGAATAAAGTCCCCGAGTGGCGTCTAGTGGAGTTGTTACAGGGCACTCTCTGCCTTACGCTTGGTCCTCTTCCAAGGGGACCCTTTAGAGGGTGGGAAAGGCGCCGAGTGGTCTTAGACGTAGATCTCGGGGCCTCAGCCACTGCCAACAAGCCAGAGCCTGCCATCATGCCCTTTTAATCTTAACAGGGCATCAGTCTTGCTGACAGAAAGATGTGGGCTAGGATACTCAGCTTCAAGATTAAGTCATTATAGTTCTTGTTCCTCATGATCTTAGCCACTGAAGGACTTTCCGATTCGGAGAGAATTGTATCCTGGGCTGTCCTTCCCTAGGGTCACAGGCAGGTTCTTTTCTGATTTTTGTGGAATTTGGAGTTCTAGTAGAGAACTGAGATTCAAAGGTGATGATAATCTTTCACGTGGCGGGATTTCTGTCTCAGCTCTGAGGGAAACCTGAGGTTGTAACTGAGGAGATGGTTCCTCATGGAGATTTTTTTTTTCTTTCGCTGTATTTTCTGGTTGTAACACTTGGGAACGGATGTGTGAACCTCTAGTTCCAGCTGCTTGAGAGGCTGGTATCTGCGGCTCAGTTCGAAACCAGCCTGGGCAGCATAGAGAAACCTGGGTTTCGCTAGTAACCCAAGTGGGCCTTACTCTTTGTGCAGCTGACAAGGTCACCTTGAACATGTGTGTAGCCTTCCTTGCCTTCACTTCCCAAATGCTGGATTACAGGCATGTGCCACCGGCCACACAGCCCAGCTCTGTCTCTTAAATAAAAAATAAGGACAAAACAAACACAAGAATTTTAATGTTGAGAAAAAAAATTGTAGTTTACAGCAAAATGCAGTTAGCATGTTTGTTATGTAGTGAAAATCCTTTTACATAACGTGACTATTTCCGTAGTCGGGCATGGTGGCTCACACCTTTAATCCAGCACTCGGGAGGTAGAGCCAGGATCTCTGTGAGTTCGAGGCCAGCCTGGTCTACAGAGTGAGGCCTAGGGCAGTGAGGGCAACCCTGTCTCGACAAAACAAAACAAAGATACGCTTATTTCCAAAGCCCAAATAGGACTTTCAGAGCTCTTAAACTTCAAACACTTCAGAATTCCCTCTTTGCTTTCTTCTAATTTAATTAATCCTATTTTCAAAATTGGTTAATAGTGTCAAAAGGACTACGAGTGACAGACCCAAGGTCTTCCGCTAGATGGGGAATTCAGGGCCATCCTGGGATCATGGCACCTAGCTCAAAAGTCTAATTAACAAATAAAGTTCACGTGTGTGCTAAGAAGGAGTAATTGCATGCTTACACTGAGCAGTTTGCTAAATGATGATTTGACATAAGAGCTTAGTCAGAATCCCAGGGAGAAGGGAAGGCTCATAACTGGGCCCCAAGTATCATGGCACCCTATCCTTTCCACCGAGGCCCACAGGGGCTATCAGCGCAGCGCTAATTGCATGGCGCTAGAATAGCTGCATTGCAATGCATCAAGCACCCTTCATCTCGGCCCTTTCTCTGCTCTCAAGTAGGCTAATGTGAGGGTAATATTATAGGCGCTTCTTCTCTTTCTTCTCCAGCTTTTATGAAAGGATGCATAGCACAATATATCGAAAAGATCTTTCTATTTGAGACTCTTCTTTTAATGGGCTCTTTATTCTGGTGATAATTATACCTTTATCTTTCAAAAGCTGATGTTTCCTACCTAAAGCGTCTCTCCCCCCCAAAATATCACATTAAAAAGTCTGCAAAGAATAGGGGAAAAGAAAGGCTTGGGTATCAATTCCAAACTTTGATTGAAACCCCCCCAAATAATTATAGCTTATGTCCTCTGCAGAGATTATCTGGCTTGGCTTACCCCATAATCTAATTTCAGGAAAGAAAGCTTTATTTCAACACTGATCTACGTCAACATGAAAGGCTTCTCTTTCCCAGGGCTTGGTGAGAAATCGAAATGAATATACTTTATTGAATTAATGTCATCAAAAGCGTGCAGCTCCCCTGTGCCGGTGTCAAACAGACCTCAGTCTCCACGGCACTTTCTTCCCGTTAGCTGGGTGGTTTTTTTTGCATCTGTGCCCTTGGAAATAGCGTCTGAGACCTTAGAATGGAGTGATAGATTAAAGTGTACTTTTTAAGGACTGGTGACAAGTAGTTTCTATTTTCTAAAGGACAACATAAATTGTATGTCTCATTTTAATTAGGTTTTCTTCCCTGCAGAGCTGGAAGCCCCAGTGCACACTCACTGACCATGGCTGCACATGAAAAATACAAAGGAGGAAGTCACATATTATGTCAACTTTACTTGTAATGTAATGGAATATTTAGCTTTAGATGTTCATCTTTTTTTTTTTAAAGAGAACTCCCACAGGACACTACCATAAAACTTCTAGGTCTGATAGGAATGTAGAGGAGGAAAAATGACTGTTCTCCATTCATGAGCTACCTGAACACTTTCAGTGGGAAATAATTATATCTATAAATTTGTCTTTTTATCTCAGTACATTGATGGAAAAGTATTATCTCGATTATTTTATAATTTTGTAGGGAATATATGTATCTATTTTTCTTGACTTTTAATATAGCAATAAAAACCTACTTCCAAGCTTTCTGTGTATGTGTTAGATCCGTTTGTTCTGGGGTAGCTGGGATAATCCATTTGCTCCAAGTTTCTTTCGCATAATTTATTTTTTTTATAATTGTTTTTCAATTGGGTTACCAGTTCTTTTATTGAAAATACTGTGAGCTTTTTCTGTATACTCTGAGTGCCAGTCTTTCTATGATGCTAGAGGTATTGAGACTGTCAAACCCATGGCATACCCTTCCTCACAGAATCCAAGTTGGAGCCCATAGCGCTGTGGAAGGGTGATGCAGGTCATGCAAATAAACTGGAAAAAAATAACAAGCAAGTCTATGTTGTAAAGAGGCTGCATGTTCGTTTCCTAGCTGCCCAGACTTCCAAAATAACCGCACAGAAACTGTATTTTTTTTGTCTAAAGTTTTCTTTCTTTCTTTCTTTCTTTCTTTCTTCCTTTATTATGTATACAATATTCTGTCTGTGTGTATGCCTGCAGGCCACACAGACCTCATTATAGATGGTTGTGAGCCACCATGTGGTTGCTGGGAATTGAACTCAGGACCTTTCAAAGAGCAGGCAATGCTCTTAACCTCTGAGCCATCTCTCCAGCCCCAGAAACTGTATTAATTAAATCACTGCTTGGCCAATTACTTAAGCATATTGCTAGCTAACTCTTACATCTAGAATTAACCCATCTCTATTATTTTATATTTTACCATGAGTCTTGTGGCTTACCAGCCAGGTTTCAACACGTCTGTCTCTGGCTGCAGCTCCATGGTTTCTTCCTGACTCTGCCTCCTTTTCTCCCAGCATTCAGTTTAGTTTTCCCTGCCTATCTACCCTATCAGGCCAAACCAGTTTCTTTATTAACCAATGGTATTCACAGCATACAGAGGGGAATCCCACATCAAGTCTATCCAGTGTACTGCTTGTTAAACAGCTGCTCATAGTAACTTTTCAAAAGATAGTTATTTTCTATTATGTGTATGCCTTTATGGGGGCCATGAACTATTATAATTCTCAATACTAGTGAATAAAATTTAGAAAGCCTGAGATTAGGAGAAAATCTGCTGAACTCCAGTCCCATGTCTCCACTCTCACTGCCGTAGCTCCTTTCTGATGTCCCAAGTCTCTTGTCATTTCCTTTCCGGCTGGAGACTTCGTGTTTACTGTTTCTTTCCAGGAGGTCTTCCGCAAGAGCAGGGTGTGCTCTTAGTAGCTGAGCTATTTCTCTGGTTCCATTAATGCCTGGATCATTTTGAAATGGATCCCTATTGGTTGTCTTTCCACTGATAGTGGGCGCATAGATCTTAGCTTATCTACCAGTTTACCTTGCGTTTTGAAAATCTTGAATATAAACGTGAAAAGGTTCTAAGTCCTGTTACACGTCCCTAAAACAGTGCTTTTCAGCCCTTTGGGGTTGCAGATTAGATACTTACATTACAATCAGTAACAGTAAGTAGCAAAATTACAGTTCTGAAGTAGCAATGAAATAATTTTATGGTTGGGAGTCACCACAACATGAGGACCTGTATTAAAGGGTCGCAGCATTAGGAAGGTTGAGGACCGCTCTTCGGAAGAGTCTAAACTGCTTTAATAAGCAGTGGGTGAAATCTCTTATTTTAGTTTTGGATGAATGGCTTAGAGCCTACCTCACATATATGTTGTGTAAGGGCCAAGTGGAGTTTAGGTACAGATTTTAAAGTTCTTCTTATAATGTCAATCTTGGTTTGTCAGTTTGGATTGGGAGATGCAAAGGAAACTGGCAGACACATTTCTGGGTGTGTCTATGAGAGCATGACCAGAAATGACCCACAGGCCTGTGGCTCAGTGAATTGAATGGGGAAGACTCATTCTGAATATGACAGGCACCCTCCAGTAGGCCAGGACCCCATATGGAACGGAAAGTTTGCTCATGCGTGTGCAGGTAAGTGCCCTGGAGTGGGTGTGTTACTGCCAGCACAGCCCAGACTGAGGCTTATCAGCTTTTGAATGTGGCTTTGCACCAACAGCTCCTCAGGGGGCATCCGGGTCCTCTGCATCAGGTCCAGCTTCATTGCTCTCTCTTGTTCTGAGGCATCTTCAGTTTTGGACTGAGCAGCGATTGATCCCTTCAGCTCTCCAGTCCCAAAGAGGGACAACCAGGTCCTGGTTGTGTCAGGCGATCTTATAAAGGCTCTCTTAACTAAATGTGCACTCAGTGACCCCCTCAAATACTGTCTTTCCAGATTCTCACCCCACTTCAAGCTTCTGTGATAAAGTGGGATATTATCCTTTGGTGCTTTAAGCCCCTAGAAGCATTTTCTATGGTTTTTTAACTTCTCTGCCTCTTTTCCAGTCCTCAGGGAGTGTTTGTTGTTGGTTTTTGTTATTGTTGTTACTTTGTTTTCTGAGGCAGGATTTCTCGATAGATTTGGAGCCTGTCCTGGAACTAGCTCTGTGGACTAGGCTGGTCTCGAATTCACAGAGATCCGCCTGTGTCTGCCTCCTGAGTGCTGAGATTAAAGGTGTGCGCCACCATTGCCTGGCTTGAATTTATAATTCGCCTATCTCAATCTTTCAAGTGCTTGGATTATAGCATGGAGGTTTATATAAATACACTTATTTATGTATTTGTGTGTGTCTATGTGTGTGTGTAGTGATGTCACAGCAGGTAAAGGCACTTCCTGCCAAGCCTGATGACCTGAGCTTGATACCCAGGATCAGCATGGTGGAAGAAGAGAACCAACTCCAGAAAATTGTCCTCTGACCTCTACCTGCAGGGTGGCGTGCACACACCTCCCCTCCTCCCTACTCACATAAACGTACTATTTTGTTTTGAATGTCAGTAGTGTTTAGCTGTTACCCGTGGGACAGTAGATGTCATGCCTCCATCATGGAAAACCAGAACTATCCTGCACTTTTAATTGCCAGTATGTAACTGAAATCTCCAAGACGGGAAATACACTGTATTTTTGTTTTACTTACTTGAACAGAGATTTTTTTTCTTTTCGTTTTCTTTATCTCTAATTGGACGTGTGTGTATGTGTGTGTATGTGTGTGTAATATGCATGTATGTGTGTGTGTAGGTGTATACTTGATACTTGTGGGGGAGGCCAGAGAGGATGTCAGGGATTCTGCCTGGCCACTCTGCCTTGTTCTTCTGAACCAGGGTTTCTCACAACCCAGAGCTAGGTTGATGGTACTTCCCCAGCATCTGACCCCACAGCACTGGGGTCATGGGTACACACAGTACTAGCTGCAGCTTTTCATGTGGAACTAGGATACAAACCCAATGGTGAGGAGTCTTACCTACTAGGCCATGGCTTGGCAAACAGAATGTTCTAAGTTCTGGTCCATGTCAGGCTTAGGACCAGTCTCTGACTTCAAATATTGCAATTTAAATCAGGTCAGTATCTGATAAGATGTACTCAAATATCCCACCCACTTTCTCTTGCTAAGGCCAACTTACCCTCTGACACTGGGATCCATAGACATCGGCCAGGAAAAACTTTCTGTGGTTCTGCTTTTCCTTTGCTCTGAGTGAAGTATTGTTCCTCGGGGCTGCAGAACCCAGGTCCTGCCATTACCCAGTCTCACCAGGGTAGATTTATGAGCTTGTTTCTCCTCCCCTGACTCCTACACTTGTTGAGATTTGAACTTGCAAACTTAGACAGGGCCAACTAGATATTTGTTGAATGTCCATGAACAATTAACCAAGTTAAACAGACTCACATAGCAAGAGAGACAAGAAGTAGGTGAGGGAGAGAAGCTCAGAGCTGCTCTAGAATGGAGACCAAGGTGTGGGAGTGGCCCTGAAGTTAACTAAATCCTCTCTGCCTCTCTCAGTGCCTTTCCCTTTCTCTTGACGCTCCTAGTTCTGTGTCCTAGCCCTACTATTTCCCCTATTGAGAATCATTCCACTGAAGGTGTGTGTAGAGCAAAATGGGAGATGAAGATGATACCTCAACATTGAAATCTCTCAATCTCTCAATCTCTCTCTCTCTCTCTCTCTCTCTCTCTCTCTCTCTCTCTCGTATACACATACATAATTAGCAGTAAAAATAAAACAAATAATTAATGAACAACTGTAATCTTTGGAGCAGAGTAAGCTAATGGAACATTTAAATGCCCCTATTGATATCTATGTTTTCTACAACTGACATTTATTACTGTTTTGTTTTGAGATACAGTCTCACTGTGTACCCTAAGCAGGCCTCATGACCCTCAGGCTTCAGCCTCCTGGATGTTGGGTTTATGAGAGCACACTACAACATCTTAATTTATTTGTTACTCACACGCTACAAGACTTATCGACACGTACTTTACAGTGTGCATTTGCAGATTCTTATCTGCCTAATTGACACGATCCTAGGCTTTGTCTAGTCTAATCTTACAAGAAATTGAAGAGAATGTTTTTCAAATGAACGCAATGCTTTCTTAACATCAGGAAAGAGAAATTAAAACAGCTCCCTTTGCTAGACCCCAGCCTGGCCCCAGGGACAGCCTGCTTTGCAGACGGGTTAGCTGCCTGCCAGGTCCCCAAAGGCATCAACATTCATCATCTCTCAGTGCTGATGCCAAAGACTGAAACCTAGAGACATAGCATCATGAGAATGGGCCAAGCAAGGAAGAGCGGATTCTTACAAGGATGCTATAAAGATCTAGAAGTGTAACCCTGGGCAAGTCACTTCATTTCTCCATCCTCTACAAAGCCAGGCCCTTCTTTATCCTCTTAGCAGTTCTTGAGGCCCTCCATATGTGCAGGTCAGCTCACAGCCACTCAACCAGGCTCACACTATAACAATACAGTCATACTTCATTGTCCATAGCACCATCCCCCACCCCCACCCCATTTCCTTCCTTCAACACAGAATGAGCCAGACTTCTCATGGCTTATTTCTGGTTGTGAGCCTAACCTTTAATGGCTGAGCCATCTCTCCAGCCAGAGTTCTCATCGCTTATGAGTGGAGTGGTAATTGTGGCCTTGAGGGCCCTCAGGAGGAAGGTCAGTGGGTCTTATGAAGGCTGACAGGAGAGGCAGTAACAGAATA